GATAATGGACGGGTTCTGGTATGTATGCAAAGAAGGGAAATAGTTGGTGCTCACTTAACAATAGAGAAAATGTGAGGAGAATAGCGTTCGCCATTATCAAGATTAAACTAGAAGACGAAGAGGGACATATTTACTGCACCAATGCATTTAATAAAATGTTTTGAATCTTTGTTTCTAAGGAATGTCCGTTCACCAAGGCTGCCCCAAACACATTCCTCCGTGTATCTTACATGGGAAACATTCGCATCGCCGGTTGCAAACACTGTTGCATGAGATGGTTTTTCACCTTCAACGACATTGAATGTAAGGCTCCCGCTGCCATTGATGCCGTTGTCTACCAGAACATCGACCTGAACATCCATCGCTCAGCCAACATAGAAGGCTACTGTACAGGAATGGGCAAAGGCCTGGTTCGTGTTGGCTTGCACGTCGGTCAGTGCCATGGCTTTGGCATTTTCAACGCCTACACTGGCTGGAATTCAGTCAGCAAGATCATTGTTGAGGAGATCGAGCCCCCAGTTGCTTAAACAAGTAGTGCTTTTTGCAGCCAAGCGCATTGTTCTTGATCTCATTATAAGGGAAGTAGTATGTTGTAACCGGGGAGTAGATAGGCCCACTGAATTAAGATTGTCATGGCTGCACTGGCCATGATGGAAGTCATGTCTCGATATGGGAAAATAAACCTGCGAAGAAAAGTACTTTGGTCCATGTGTTCTTTTTAAAATGATTGTTTCAACATAGCTGTACTTTATAAAAAATCTCAACTAGGACATATGTGGACATTTTATTTTAGCCCAGTTTCACTCTTTGCATTACACCTCGCAAGTCCTAAGTATCTCGCGTGTTCCTGTTGCCGTAAAATTGAATAAATGTGACATATTCGATTCGGATTCCTGGCGTTCATAGAATAATATTTCTCCCTAAAAAGCCGTGGCCCAATGATTTATTAGACAGAATATTGGACACAAACCAGCTTAAAGCTTTCTATGTGACACTGCTATTTATGTTACTCAAGCTTTCTCAGTTAAAAACATTGAAGATGTTTGAAATTAATGCCTTTTCAGTGAAAGTCCCTTCAATTGATTAATTTCTTTGTTATCAATGTGAAGTTTCTTTTTATATTTGAGGAGGGCGGTGCAATGCCTGCCGACCGACACGTCTAATCCAACCCGAGGCGGGCGTGCAATGCCTACGGGTTGGGTCCACCACAAACGGAGGGTTACCAGACACCAACTTCGTTGGGGAATCGAGCCCCACCTCACCGGAAACTAACATACTCACTCCAAAAATTGAACTCACTCACAAATGAAACGATAATAATAGAAGACTGATGATTTTAGCCCCTAGCCAGCCAAGGGGTGGCCCGCGAAAAAAACAAAACAATAATTATAGCCCCTAGCTTCAATACATTTTCAAGGTGGCCCTGATACTCGAAAAAGACTTTAGTTCCAGGTCTACCCTCGCAAAGGATCTCTCATCTTCTAGGTACACTGTAATCATTTCTTTCATAACTTTGGTTAAACAAGATTGGCAAATAATGGCATATAGTCAAATATTATCCGCTGAAGAGAAGGTCAATAAAGGTGAATATTTACCTTAACGCATCACGGCTCGGTAAATATCGACCACTTTTACCTACATTAGAGGTAATAGTTATTTTGAAATATACCACACAAGAACTAAAACGTAAGTCTGTCTCTATCAGTGCTAGGAAAAATGGTCGAATGTCTAACTCTTCACACGCGAGTTACTCTCTTCGGTCGCTCGGAGATGAATAGTACTTGTTAAGCATCTCCGAGAAAGCCAATCAGCGTGTGTGAAAAGTACCATACCTGTGTGGGTGTATACCCAAGCCTTATACAAGTTTTATTCTGTGGGCCATGCCGCCCCACGCGTTCTTTCATCAAAAAACTTCGTTAAAAAGTCCCATTAGGAGGCCTTCCACTCAATGAATAAGTGTTTACAACTGTTTGTCTCCTAATAAAATTAGAAACGATCAGAACATACAAGTGTAGAGACCATTTATTACACTAAGTGCATCAGGGGAAAGGGTTGAGTAAAAGGTCTAGAATCGGACTGCTTTCACAAAACGACGCATCGTTAAAGCGTTGCACCCTTCTCGATTGTTAGATGATATACTTGTTGAGCGAAATACACGATGACCATAATTACAATAAATAATTTAACTTGCGACAAATATTTGATAGCATGATGATGCGGCATGTGTGAAAGTTAGTGATCTTTGCCACCAAATCACGCCTCGTGGAAATATTCCATCCACTTTAACCATTAGCTTACTTTTCGATTTTAGTGCGCGGTGTGAGGAAAAATTAACTGGTTATACTAAAGGAAAATATTTAATTATATCTTTGACAAATACTCTGAATTGTTTTTTCAGTTACGAACAAATTTAATATCTTGATCTGTCCGACAATCCAATTTGGGCATTTTTCGGCGAAAAAATTAAACAATTGTGTTTGTCTACTAATAAAAAAGCTATTGCAAACATAACATGGTAATTATGAATGAAAATAAGTATACTTAAACAAGTGAAATTCGGAAGACCGGCATTTTGAACTCCCTCTCAGGAAAAATGAATCGACAACATCTTCTGCAGATCTTTGCGCTGTCTTCTCTCCTGTTCCTGCAGGTTGTGATGGGCACAGATGAAACTGTAAGTTACTTAACAGGGTAGGGTTGTTGATTTTTATAGAAACACCTTCGATTCAGGGACAAATGAAATTTGAACTATCAAGTCGCGATAAAAACTGGCGGATGGATCAAGATGCGGTGAGCACTGCTTTCAAAACTGTAAGCAAATTCGCCAATTGATCATGAACCCCATCTATGATTCATTTTTGAGTTGTCACCATCGGGTCAATTATACTTTTCTTCATACAACTCACTTTCAAAGTTATAATGTTATTCACCGCTTGGAGAGATGTTCATTAATCAAGACCATGAAGGGAGTGTCCCAAGGATTTCTTCAGAAAGTGACATGTGAAATCGTAATAAGAAGTTTTACAGTTTCAGGAGATGAGGAAGAAAGGATGTCCAGTTCTACCAGGCGTACCAGGCCCAGCAGGTAGAGATGGGTTACCGGGACGAGATGGAGCACCAGGACGAGATGGACTACCCGGACGAGATGGCGCACCCGGACCCAAGGGGGAAGTGGGACCACCAGGACAACCAGGAGTCAAAGGAGAGGCTGGGACCCAAAGGAGATGGAAACAGTGTTTTTAATTTGGAATCACATCAACTCTGAGACCGATAATGGACGGGTTCTGGTATGTATGCAAAGAAGGGAAATAGTTGGTGCTCACTTAACAATAGAGAAAATGTGAGGAGAATAGCGTTCACCATTATCAAGATTAAACTAGAAGACGAAGAGGGACATATTTACTGCACCAATGCATTTAATAAAATGTTTTGAATCTTTGTTTCTAAGGAATGTCCGTTCACCAAGGCTGCCCCAAACACATTCCTCCGTGTATCTTACATGGGAAACATTCGCATCGCCGGTTGCAAACACTGTTGCATGAGATGGTTTTTCACCTTCAACGACATTGAATGTAAGGCTCCCGCTGCCATTGATGCCGTTGTCTACCAGAACATCGACCTGAACATCCATCGCTCAGCCAACATAGAAGGCTACTGTGCTGGAATCGCAAAAGGCCTGGTTCGTGTTGGCTTGCACGTCGGTCAGTGCCATGGCTTTGGCATTTTCAAAGCCTATACTGGCTGGAATTCAGTCAGCAGGATCATTATTGAGGAGTTTGAACCCCCAGTTGCATAGATCTCCTATTCCTATTCCATCCAAGGGCATAGCTCCCGATTCAATGTAAGGGTATAGCTAATATTGCATTGTAACTAGGAAGTAGTTAGACACCCTGAATTAGCGCTGTCTCTACTGTAAAGGGTGGAAGTAATGACAATGTGTGATAATAAACCTGCGAAGAAAGCTATCTTTGGTCCATGTTTTGTCTTGACACGATTAAAACATAACATGCAAAAGTATCCCTATGGATAGGTTGGCATAATAGCCCGTGATCATTCTTTGCATGACGCTGCGTTTTTAATATAATGAAATCGACGCAGTCCCTACTGTGTACTGTCGAAGCGGCGTAACTTTCCCAACAAATGAGTGGTTAGTACCTGCCTGTCCTCTCCTCTAATTATCAATTCATTAATCCCTTGCATTTTTCACCCCTATAAAATATAGAGAGATTCGGTTCTGAGAAAACTGAGGCATGGCAACTTTCGCTCAAGTTTTTTTTTTCCACAAAATGTCGAGGAAACGCCGAGAGAACAAGCCACTCACTTTTTGCTCTAATAATATACATGAAAAAATTTCTCAGTTCTGATTGGTTAAGATGAATGCAGTTTTTAGTTAATCCAGTGCAGAAGAGAGTTAATTCAGTGCAGAAGAGGGTTTTGGTTTCGTTTCAACAACTTAATTCGGTTTGACTTCTAAAAAAATTTTAAAAAAAATTAAAAAAAAAACACACAACAGTAGCACTCATTACAAAGACCCAAACGGGGGGGGGGTTGCGAACGGGACGCAAGGTACCATGCGAGGTACTCCCCTATATTAAAAAGTAAATAAATAAATTAATAAATGAATAAAAAGGAAAATTTTGTAAAACAAAGGAAATACGATAGTTAGCGATGGCAGGTGTAACCTGCATCAAAAGAGGTCCAAGGTAAGTACGTAAGATAAGACAATAAAATTCTTCAAGGATTCTGGAGTGGAGAAATTTGAAGGCGGCGATATTTTACATATGTAGTTCCAGGGCTTAACAATTCTGTTCAAGTAGGAAGAGTGATTGGTGCTTGTTTTGCATAACGGTCTTTTAAGACTGTAGGAGGAACTGAGTCTGGTACGGCCATGGCAGGCAAAAGATGCAAAGTTTTTAACATTTTAATCAGTAACATTGTTCAGACATTTGTAGAAAAAGACCATATCTTTGAGTTCACGGTCAAAGGTTAGTGGCGATAGGTTTAAGGCTAGAAGCCTGTCCTTGTAGAACATTTCCCAAAACGAGCTTGTAGAATCCATCTCGTCGCTGTCCTCTGCACTCTTTCAATCTCAGTTTTAAGGGATATTTGCGACGGGACCAAACTTGCGTTGCATAGGACAGCTGCGATTTCACAAGCGCCAGATAGAGTGTGCGCATGACTGACAGATCAGTCAGTAGAGGGCATGTGCGTTTCAGAAGCCCAAGGAGTCTGTTGGCCTTGCTTACGATGATGTGAACATGTTGGTCCCAAGAGAGGGTACGTGTGACAGTAACCCCGACATCTTTCTCATTGGTGACACGCTCCAGCTGAACTTGGTTGAGGTGATAGTTGTATGTTAGGGGATTCTTTTTGCTGGTCACGGTTAGGACTTTGCACTTGCTGGTGTTAAAACAGATGTTATTACGCTGAGACCACTCATCGGGGTTGGTAAGCATGGTCTGTAAGGCAATGCGGTCGCCCATTGATTTAATGCTGCGATACAATTTCGTATCGTCCATATATAATGCGACCATAACAGCATCCACAGTTTCTTCTGGGAGATCATTGATAAAGATGGTAAACGATAAAGGACCCAGGAGGCTTCCTTGGGGGACACCGGAGGTGACTGGTGCCCACTGTGACGCTGCACCCTCGATAACGACTCTCTGTATCCGTCCACCAAGACAGTCAGTGAACCATGAATGTAGCCTTCCAGTCACCCTGTATGCCCCCAGCTTAGCCAGCAGGATCTGATGATCTACCATAAAAGGTGTTGTCCGATAGTGTGCAATACTGACAATAGCTGTGTAACGCATGATCGGTTCTTGAGAAATCCGAGTTTAAATTTTGTGATTAAGTTCTTAATGTGATTGTACGTGGCCTTAAAAACACAACGTTCCAAAACTTTGCACACAATAAGGAGAAGCGATATGGTCAGTAATTATCAGCTGGCTCTTTCGATTCTTTCTTGTGGATGGGTGTTATATCTGCCGACTTCTATTCTCTTGGAATTCTGCCGCTGCTAAGAGAGATGTTAAAAATAGCGCAGAGACTAGGAGCTATTTGTTCACTGCATTGTTTTAGTGGTCGAGCTGGAATGCCGTCGGAACCACATGCTTTTGAGGTGTCTAGTCCATTCAAGTAATCTTTCACCTCTTCAACTGATACTTCTATTTGCGTAATTTCCATAGCAGTTTTTGTTGATATGTTAATTTCAGCCATGTTTACATTAGCGGCTGCGGGAAGGAAAGCAGAACAGAAATATTCATTAAAAATTTCTGCTTTCTGAGGGTTAATTCAGTGCAAAGAAAGAAACAAACCAGACAATCTGATTGGTCAATGTCAAAGTCAAGGTCAATGTCAAGGTCAATGTCACTTGCAGGGTTTGAATAAATTATTTTTGCACGTGATGCGCGCGCTTTTCTTCAGCGTAGTTATGAGAAGCTACCTGGTATTTTTTCATGTATATTATTAATAGATAATTACATGATTTTCTCGTGCAATTTGGAATAAATAAGCACTTGTAAATTTTTTCAAAGACCACACATTGCACTCGCCCTCCGGACTCATGCAATTTTGTTAGTCTTTGAAAAAATTTACTCGTGCTTATTTATTCCAAATTGCACTCGAAATCATGTGATTACCTATACAAATAGATTAGCGAGAACATTTAGAACTTAGAAAGAAAAAACAACACAGACCATTTATGCCCAAGAATCAGTATTTATCCTCGCTACTGTGGGCCATATATTACCTATAACTGTTTGTTCGCTGGATTCTCTGTTCGCCACTTCCACCCCCCCACCCCCCGCTGCCCTTTAGATCACGGGACATTTCCGACTCGGAATGTACTGTGTAATGGCGGGTGTTAGCTTTTTTTGTCATCGATACCTACTTTGTTTTAAAATTGCATGTCACTGTGTCGCATCTTCAATCGAAGTGACGAGGTCTACAGCAATACAGTTAAAGAAATTTACATGAGGATTGTGGTTTTTTTCCCTGTTTCACTTCTCTGGTATATTGGGCTTCTACCCCTTGCAAGGATTGAGTTCGTTTACGGTCATATGTATGTATGGTCAATTTCCCATTGACTTTGATCTCAAAAATGTAGGAAATGGCATCTTACAGGTGTTTATCTCAAATCAATTTTCTGGAGGATATTGCGTCCCCCCTATGGCGCGCGCCCCCGGTGCATAAAATTATTTTTCATAAATGCACGGGACACAATGCATCCAGATTGCGTCAAATTTACTTAAGCTTACAGGAATGAAACATGCCAGAAACGCATGTGAAAAAGGTACCAAAATTTTGACCTTTCCTTTTAGTGATACAGTAAACACCCGAAAATGAAAACCTTATTTTTTGGCAGTCTGGCAAAAAAGGTTCTTGTTTAAAGGGGTAGTCGTTGGTTATTTTAGCAAAACAGGTTCTTAATTAGGTTCTTAATTGCTAAGAGGGGGATACAGATGTCATTGTTTTGCATATATATCATAAGAATAATAAATAAGCTTTATACGGGCTAAAATTATATATAATACTGTATAACTGTAACTTTCAACTACTGTAACAAGTAAATAATCAACTCAACAATATATTGGGCATTTTGTGTAAATTATCTTCTATTTCTTTTACACACACCAATAAATTGTGTCAGTAACTTGTAATTCGTTTATCCTGTAATAAGAACCTGCTTGATCATGTTTGGCTAAACAGGTTCTTATTTAAAGGAGTATGAAAATGGCAAATTTCTGCCAAGAGCTTCTTAATCCACTAGGTTCTTATTTTCGGGTGTTTCGGTACTTTTGCATAGGATTTGTAGTCATATCAAAACAAAAGATCAACCAAAATTAAGTTTTTTGCAGGTTTATTTTCACACATTATCATTCCACCCTGTACAATTGGGATAACGCTAATTCAGTGGGCCTAACTACTCCCTTGTTACGATGCAACATCATAAATTCCCCTTATAATGAATCAAGAACTATGCACATGGGTGGAATAAAACATCGGCGATTTAAGCAACTGGGGGCTCAACCTCCTCAATAATGAACCTGCTGACTGAGATCCAGCCAGTGTAAGCGTCGAAAGTACCAAAGCCATGACACTTACCGACGTGCAAGCCAACACGTACCAAGCCACTGCCCATTCCAGTGCAGTGGCCTTCTATCTTGGCTGGGCGAACGTTGTAGAGATTGACATTCTGGTACACAATGGCATCAATGAGAGAAGGTAGGGGTCGCCATCCAGTCCTGGTGCTCCATCTCGTCCCGGTAATCCATCTCGACCTGGTGGACCTGGTGGGCATGTAACTTTACGGCATTTCTTTCTCGACTCCTGCATAGCAAAATTTCTAATCACAACTTAACATCCCAGTGTGATTATAATTAACGATCACCTCTCCAGGAGAAGAGGCATTTTGTAACTTTGTTACTACGATATGTGAAGCTAAGTAACTATATTTGACTTGTTCATGACAACTGAAAAATGACTCTTCACAGGTGAACCACAACTGACGGAATTGCATATAGTTTGAAAGTATTGCTCGCCGCACGCATCCTGATCCCACCAGTCCGTTCTTATCAGGACGCATTCGATTGTGCAAATTAAATTTGTGCCTGACTCAGAAGAGTTTCTGGAGAAATCAATAACCTTACGTAGCTTTTAATTAACTTACGATCTCCTCTAGATCTTCTGTGCTGATTACAACCTGAAAGAACAGGAGATAAGACAGCGCAAAGATCTGCAGAAGATTTTGTCGATCCATCCTTCCTGTGAGAGAGTTAAAAATGCCGTGCTTCCTAATTTCATCTGAATAAGTGTACTTGGTTTATTTACAATCCATCTCGACCTGGTGGACCTGGTGGCCATTTAACTTCACGGCATTTCTTTCTCGACTTCTGCAAAGCAAGATTTCTAATTACAACTTGACATGCCAGTCTGTGAAGAAATCCTAGAGATCCTGGCTTGATGACTTGTGATTAACGATCACCTCTCCTGGAGAAGAATAATTTTGTAACTTTGTTACTGCGATATATGAAGTTAAGTATATTTGACTTGTTCATGACAACTGAAAAATTACTGTTCACAGGTAATCCACAACTGAAGAAATTGCACTAAAGTTTGAAAGTATTGCTCGTCATATCCTGATCCGACCAGTCCGTTCTTAACAGGACGCGCTCGATTGTCCAAATTGAATTTGTGCCTGATTCAGAAGAGTTCTGGAGAAATGAATAACCTCACGAAACTTTCAATTAACTTACGATTTCCTCTAGATCTTCTGTGCCGATCACAACCTGAAAGAACAGGAGATAAGACAGCGCAAAGATCTGCATAAGATTTTGTCGATCCATCCTTCCTGAGCTCGTGAGAGAGTTAAAAATGCCATACTTCCTAATTCCATCTGTGTACTTTGGTTGCTTTTAATTGTAACTGTAATGATGTTTTACAATAATTTGCATTGTCTTTATGTCCACTCTTAACAACCATTTGTGCTGGATTTTTGGATAGATCGAGATCATATATTGAAATCAAACAATTTGGGGGGGGGGGAGGGGTGATTGTTGACCACACAGATAAATGTTGCTATTAATACAATCAGTTAATTTCTTGCGCATCACGCAATAGATTCCAAAATTTAACTTAAAGGTTTAAGTGGATGAGACACTTCTTCTTGGTATGATTTACGAGCAGTAAATCGATTCTAGCCTTCACATATATAAGCCTTGTACGGCATCTTGACCATTGGCAAAAGATAGGTCGCATTATCGTGCAGTTAAATATATGTTGCTAGTTTGATGAATTTACATATTGGTCATCTCGTATTTCATATTACAAGGGTATAAGAGAGCATTAATTTTTCGTTGAGTGAATTTCGTGATTCTAGAAATGTATGAAAGCAATCCTCGCAGTAATGATAATAAGGCCTGAAAAAAATTCAGGCCCCCGTACGGATTTGAACCCATGACCTCTGGGATAACAGTGCAGTGTTCTACCAACTGAACTAACAAGCCAACGGAGCGTTTAACGGTATGTTCGGTTAATTTAAATCAGTGAAGTGATGAATCGATGAATTTGAATATATGAAAATCATATATCTGTGCTGCGGTTTTAAGAATTGCATGAAAGCGTACGGGCCTGAATTTTTTTTTACATTACGATTTTTTTTTTTTTAACTTTTTTGTACTTTCTTATACTTTTTTATACTTATACTTATTTGACTTCTTTTATACATCCACCAGTTGGTAGAACACTGCACCGGTATCGCAAAGGTTATGGGTTCAAATTTTTTTTCAGGCGTTATTTTCACTGGGCCATAATTTGTGTTCATTACTGTGCGGATCGCAATACACATATTTTATGATTTTCATATATTCGAATTCATAGAATGATTGTAGGTTATTATACGCAACTATTTCTCTACTCTTTCGTCTGAGGTACATAGTGTAATTAACAGATCCTACTCTTGTACAGCAGAAAAACAGTTACAAGCATTTATTGACTGAGTGGCAGGCCTCGTAGGCTCATTTTGAACAATCTTTTTTGATAAAAGAACACGTAGGGCCGTACGGCTCATATCGGATAAAACTTCTCAGCATATACCACACGGTATACGGTAAACATACATAACCACACAGCAAGGTAAATATCCCAGGAGTTAGCTGGGGGGTTTGTGTTGAATTCCAGTGATCCTGGTAATAATTAATAAGGAATCATATCTTTGCCATTCTTGAAAAGTGAACATTCCTTTTCCTACATTTAGTTTGTTTTATAACAGATCGCAGAGCTGGTCGCTGTCACATACGTGATAAATAAGTAATTTTTCTCTCTATCAACCGTTGTTATAGATTGATCGTTGCAATAATTAAAAAAAAAAACAACAAAATCTCTGCGTACATACATACACTAAGTCTGTTGCCACAAACTTCGTGCAACGCCTGAAAAATCAATGCACTATTTATCACCCAACATGAAATACCCAATATGTCAATACATTAAACTAGCGACCTGCATGATACTGCGACCTCTCTTTTCCTAGTGATCAAGATGCCGTCAAAGGCTTATATATGTGAAGGCATTCACGGAAAACAGCTTTAGTGTTATAGTATGTAGTTTTAATTTTAAATATCTTAGCGTATATGACATATATTTTTATAGGCTGATGAATTGATCGTGTTTAAATAAAGATTACATTACATTACATTACATTACAAGGCTAGAATCGATTTACTGCTCGTAAATCACACCAAGAAAAAGTGTCTCATCCACTTAGACCTTTAAGTTAAAATTTGGAATCTATTGCGTGATGCGCAGTAACTTAACTGATTGTACTAATAGCAATATTTAATTGCGTGGTCAACAATCACCCCCCAAATTGTTCGAATTCAATATATGATCTCGATCTATCCAAATATCCAGCAGACATGTTTGTTTTAAAGTGGAGGTAAAGACCAATTATTGTGAAAACCTCATTATCATAAGATTGTAAATAAACCAAGTACACTTATTCAGATGAAATCAGGAAGCACGGCATTTTTAACTCTCTCAGAGGAAGGATGGATTGACAAAATCTTCTGCAGATCTTTGCGCTGTCTTATCTCCTGTTCTTTCAGGTTGTAATCGGCACAGAAGATCTAGAGGAAATCGTAAGTTAATTAAAAGCTACGTAAGGTTATTCATTTCTCAAGAAACTCTTCTGAGTCAAGCACAAATTTAATTTGGACAATCGAACGCGTCCTGATAAGAACGGACTGGTGGGATCAGGATGCGGCGAGCAATACTTTCAAACTATATGCAATTTCTTCAGTTGTGGTTCACCTGTGAAGAGTCATTTTTCAGTTGTCATGAACAAGTCAAATATACTTAGCTTCACATATCGCAGTAACAAAGTTACAAAATCCTTCTTCTCCTGGAGAGGTGATCGTTAATTATAATCACACTGGCATGTTTAGTTGTGATTAGAAATTTTGCTATGCAGGAGTCGAGAAAGAAATGCCGTAAAGTTACATGCCCACCAGGTCCACCAGGTCGAGATGGATTACCGGGACGAGATGGAGCACCAGGAAAAGATGGAATACCAGGACAGGATGGCGCACCCGGACCCAAGGGGGAAGTGGGACCACAAGGGCCGCCAGGTACCCAAGGAAAGCTAGGGACCCAAAGGAGATGGAAACAGTGTGATCATAACCACATCAATTCAGATATTGATGTTGGAAAAGTTATGGTATGTATGTCAAGTAGACGAATCTTGCTCCTCACACAAACAGTAGAGAAAATGGGAAGCAGTTACCGATCGTCATTATGAAGAGGAAGGGAAGAAAAGCTAGGCTATGTGCTAGGTTAAAGCAATTTATCGATTTTTTCTAATCTTTTTTTAAGGAATGTACGTTCAACAAAGCTTCCCCAAACACATATCTTCGTGTGGTTTACATGGGCAACCTTCGCATCGGAGGCTGCACAAACTGTTGCATGAGATGGTTTATCACCTTCAACGACATCGAATGCGCCATACCAGCTCTCATTGATGCCATTGTGTACCAGAATGTCAATCTCTACATCGTTCGTCCGGTCAACATAGAAGGCCACTGCACTGGAATGGGCAGTGGCTTGGTGCGTGTTGGCTTGCACGTAGGTCAGTGTTATGGCTTTGGCATTTTTGACGCCTACACTGGCTGGATCTCAGTCAGCAGGATCATTATTGAGGAGGTTGAGCCCCCAGTTGCTTAAAATCGCCGACGTTTTATTCCACCCAAGTGCATAGTTCTTGATTCATTATGAGGGCAGTTTATGATGTCGCATCGTAACCGGGAAGTAGTTAGGCCCACTGAATTAGCGTTATCCAAATTGTACAGGGTGGAAGTCATGAGAATGTGTGAAAATAAACCTGCAAAACACTTAATTCTAGTTGATCTTTTGTTTTGATTTGATCACAAAATCCTATGCAAAAGCATCACTAAAGGTCAGGTCGAAAAGATAATACTTTTTTCACATGCGTTTCTGGCGTGTTTCATTCCTGTAAGCTTAAGCGAATTTGACTCATTCTAGACGCATCGTGTCCCGTGCGTTCGCGAAAAATAATTTTATGCACAAAGGGCGCGAGCCATAGGGGGACACGATGTTCTCCAGAAAATTGTTTCGAGATAAAGGCCTGTAAGATGCCATTTCCTACATTTTTGAGATCAAAGTCAATGGGAAATTGACCGTACATGGCCGTAAAGGAAGGCAACCCTTGCACGGGGTCGAGGCAATTAACACATTACCGTGCCCATGGGCTCATGATAGGGTGCCAAAGACGCCCAATATACTAGAGAAGTGAAACAGGGAAAAATACCAAAATCCTCTCAAGTAAATTTCTTCAGGTGTATCGTTGTAGATCTCGTTACTTCAATTGAATATGCGACGCAGTAACATGCAATTTTAAAGCAAAGTACGTATCGAAAACAGAAAAAGAAACAAACACCCGAAATTATACAAAACGTTACGAGTCAGAAGGGTCACTTAGTCTAAAGGGTAAGGAGGGGGGAGGGGGGGTGGAGAGGAAGTGGCAAACAGGGAACCCAGCTAACAAACAACCGAAAAAAACAACCGAAAAAACTTGAGCGCGAGTTGCCATGTCTCACTTTTCTTAGAGTCGAATCTCTCTATATTTTATAAAGTTGAAAAAATGCAAGGGATTAATGAACGGGAAGTTAGGGGAGAGGAAAGACAGGCATTAACCACTTATTTGTTAGGAAAGTTATAGCTACGCCACTTCAAAAGTACGCAGAAGGGACTGCGTCGATTTTATTATATATATAAACAACACAGTGTCATGCAAAGAATTATCACGGGCTATTATGCCAACATGTCTATGGGGATAATTTTTGCATGGTATGTTTTAATCGTATCAAAACAAAACACGGGTCAAACAGGGATATAAAGTGAGATTTTGAACGTGTACGCACAGCGCGGAAATTGGGAACGTCGACGGTGCCCCAAACTAGGGGATCTGGGGAGCATTCTTCCTCAGAAAATTTTGAAATTCAGGGTCTCGGAAACGCAATTTCCAAATATTTCCGCGAACTTTTTTTAGAAATAAATGCGACGGAAAATGCAGTAGTTAGTTGTTTATTTTAACCATCTCTAGAGTTTTAGAGCTGAAAGGGTGTTGGCTTCCTAAAATAACTAGAGAGTTAACAAGTCTGAGAAGCCAAATAAATTAACATTTCTTGTCCTTTGTGGAGTAATGAAAAGGTACTGGAAAAACAAACACTTACGCCAGTATAATTCGAAATTTAATTTATCGGTCCTATTTTATGGTAACCGTCACAAATGTTATAAGGGAATAAAAAAAATAGATAGTTTTCTTCGCAGGTTTATTATCAGATATTGGCTTTACTTCCAAACTTTGGAGACAGCGCTAATTCAATGTGTCTAACTGCTCCCCGCTTACATTGCAATATTAGGGACCTTAAGCAACCACGACGACGACGGCAACGAGGACGTGGAAAAACAAGAGATCTAATTGGCAGAACAAGGGCTCAGCACGTGCGTTTTGAAACTTTGTACATTTCTTAGCCGTCCTATGCAAAACAACAACGTGAAATCGCCAAAATTTGCGTCGTCTGCGAACCGAAACCGCGACGGAAAATTATTTTAATTTTCATTTGGAACTCAACGATACTTTTATACGTCATACTGAAGTTGAGCTGTGGCGCCATATGAGACAGTAAGCTCCTGCAGCCATGTTTGAAATTCTAACTAAGAGTAGAAATTCATTTTTTAATCGGAGTGTTCCTTGGCGTTGCCGTCCTGACTGCTTAAGGTCCCTATTAACTACCCTTGTAATGAATCAAGAACTATGCCCTGAGGTGGAACAGGAATAAGAGATTTAAGCAAATAAGAGCTCATTCTCCTCAATGATGATCCTGTTTCCGCCAGTAGAGGCGTTGAAAATGCCAAAGACATGGCACTGACCAACGTTCAAGCCAACAAGCACCAGGCCATCGGTCACCCATGTGCTGTAGCACATGGGTGGTTAAGCGATGGATGTTCGATGTTCTGGTAGACAACGGCATCAATGAAACCGGGAGCCTTGCATTCAATGTCGTTGAAGATGAAAAACCATCTCATGCAACAGTTTGTGCAACCGAAGATACGAGTGTTGATCTTGTAGACAACACGGAGATATGTGTTTGGGGAAGCCTTAGTAAACGCACATTCCTGAAGAAAAGATTCCAAAACTCAATTTTACTTAATGCATTGGTGCAGCAGATAGGATTACTTTCGTCTCTTCCCTTTCAATTTTGTCAATTGCGAACGTTATTCCCCTCCCCTTTTCTCAACAATTTGCCACCATGGCCTACATACCAAAACTCGTCCATTATCAGTCTCGGAGTTGTTGTGGTTCCAAAAACACCGTTTCCATCTTCGTTGGTTCCAAGCGTCTCCTTTGACTCCTGGTGGCCCTGGTGGTCCCACCTCCCCCTTCAGTCCAGATGCCCAATCCCATCCGGGTAGTCCATCCCGTCTGGGTGGTCCATCCCGTCCCGGTGCTCCATCTCGTCCCGGTAATCCATCTCTGCCTGCTGGGCCTGGTATGCCTGATAGAACAAGACATCCTTTCTTCCTCATCTGCTCCAATTGGAAAACATAAGTAGCTTATAGCTTCCTTTAGTTCATCTGTCCCGATAACAAACTGAAAAAAAAAAGAGAGAAGGTAGGACAAGGATCTGCAAAAGATTTTTTCGATCCATCCTTCTTGACGGAGATTTCAAAATGCCGTGCGTCTTGATATCATTAATTTTAGTACACTTATTCTTATTCACAATTGTAATATTTTTTTTGAAATATCAGTGAAAAAAAGATGACGTTAGTGCACCGCGGGAAACTTTTGAAGCGTCACTGATGCGCCGCAGGAGCTCAAGGAGCTCCGCTCGAAAAGTAGGTACTCGACTTTTCCAGCGCCTCACTCAAGGAGCTCATTCGGTGCATCGGCATCTCTTCAAGAATTCCCCTTGGTGCGTAGGGATTCTACTTTTCAAGTCTCACTCAGCCTCACTCAAGGAGCTCCTTCGGTGCATCGGCATCTCTTCAAGAATTAACAAATGGTAAACACCACAGCGTACACTATTGAGTTATGGATGCACGCGGGAGGTTGCTAAGCACGAAAGAAGCGTAAGAGTCGCTCGAGGCGATAGCCGAGAGCGCCTCTAGCTTCTTGAGTGCTTAGCAAACCTCCCATGTGCATCCATAACTGAATAGTGTACGCTGTGGTGTTTACCATTTTTTTATAACATAACATTGATACATTGTAGCTAAAGAGTTCCCTTTTATTTAACAAATCTTACGCGACCAGAAAAAACAAGCGCGCGCGGAAAAATAGTCTTTGCATTTGCTCACGTCAGCAGCGTACACCCATGGGCAAATGGGGGACGCTAAATTGACCAATCAGAGCGCGCGCTTTACTTTGGTTATGTTATAATTCCCCTTGGTGCGTAGGGATTCTACTTTTCGAATCTCACTCAGCCTCACTCAAGGAGCTCCTTCGGTTCATCGGCATCTCTTCAAGAATTCTCCTTGGTGCGTAGGGATTCTACTTTTCGAGTCTCACTCAGCCTCACTCAAGGAGCTCCTTCGGTGCATCGGCATCTCTTCAAGAATTCCCCTTGGCGCGCAAGGATTCTACTTTTCTAGTCTAAGAAAAAAAAAAAAAATAAGGAAGGGCGTTTATTGACTACGCAATTAAACATTTGCTTTTTTAATTTTTCTGTTGCCCCAATCCGGGTAGTAAATTCCAACATTTATCTTAATGGATGAAATACTTTCGCAACGTTTCAACCGCTACACTGCTAGTTTCGTCAGGGCATGAGAGAATGAAAACAATGAAAGAGAGATGATTCACCTGCATTACTTGCACCGAATATTTCGGAGGTTGTTAAGTGCAAATCCCCCCACGAAGGTTTGAGTCTGAGTGCTTCTCACCTCGAGCTCGGATGTTTTGTCAACAAGCCATAAAGAACTTAATCACCAATTACGTTATATACTAGTTCGGTCTTACACACTATTATTAGCATTGACCAAACATTCGTGTGCTAATGCGACATAAAATGCTCATGAGGTCTCAAACGAAGTGCAACAAGACCACCTCAAACGAGTGTCCATTAAGGGAATTGTATCATCTTGGAATTTGTCGCATTTGATTGGTTGAGAAAGTGGCGTGATGTTTCTCAACCAATTCCAGAAAACAAAAGCAAAGCCACAAGCGCAATGGATTATACAGTGCTTATTATTAATATACTTAAGGTAAATCCATTTTTTTTTCAGGAAAGCTTTTCATTTGTTTCAATATTTATAACGTTTATTGCCTTTGAATGTTTTAATTTTAATTGGTATAGAACTTTAACTTATGTAAAGTGCTTCTAAATATTGTTCATAGTTTTAGCGCTGTATAAGTTCCTTATCATTATCATTATCATTATCATTATAGCATCCGAATCAACTTTTCTACGCCAAGACAAATTGAAACGTGATGTCTACCGATAGAGCACGTGGTTTGATCATAAATTTTTATGTATGTAAATGGTTTCTGCAAGAGGCCTACTTTACTACCCCCAGAAAATTGTGGTCATGTCGGGATATTGTGTTGACAACCAGGTAGCCTGCTTTAGTTTGAAGTTTTCCGACTCAGTCTTGGACGAACTATTACTCGTCGTCAAATAGTTGTTTGACTTAGTGACATGACGCTTCGAGATAGCGTAGTATCTAGTTTTAGGGTAAATAAGATAGCCAAATGAAATGGAATAAAATTGAGTTATTTTAAAAGTGATCCATAAAGAAGATGCAACTATTTACACAAACTCGTATTTTTATTCCTTAACTAGACAGGAAAGGAGATGCCTCGCGAAAAAAAAAAAACGTAATTTTTTAAGTGAGTGAGCATTTCCCTGACCGTCATTTCGCTGGGAACCTGTGCCAAAGTCGACGTTCAGGAGGCCGCACTATTAGCGCGATGGTCCAACCACAAAGGAGTTATTAAAAAGCGTTGATCTTAGTAAAAAAGATGTTTAAATATACTCAAGAATAATGGGCCAGTTATTAACCGAGGTCTAATCCAAACGGTGATTTTACACAAGAAGTGGGCCGTAGAGATTCTCTATGAGAGGGTTGACTTTTTTGAATAAATGTCCTTCCACCATTAGCTTACGTCCCTTTTACCACCGTTCACAAAAATAAATGTTCAAATTAAAGGTTCGGCTAAATTGAAGATGACCTTGAGCGCGGTTTTGTTAAGAAACGGCTAAACTTTGTCTAAATAACAAGCCCATCATGTTTTATGTTAGAGACAATTATTTACCAAAACAAAGTCTAAAATGATGACCACTAGGCATAGAAAAAAAGGCGCTGTCGCCAAGTTTAAACGGAACTACATCTTCATATTACGTTTAACGTGACACGGTCTGTTAAGGGGGATTTTTTTTTTTTCGAACTGATGAGTTGCACAGATATTTTCGACCCGACATGTAAAAAAAAAATGAGAATTGATATGATCCAAAAGCATTTGATGTTTTCCTGCGCTATACTAACTGCCAACACAAGAGTTTCTCGATGCAATGCGATCAAACCTGGAGTGCACTATATGATTAGTTACTCGGAACTGGTCAGCTCAGACGACGACCACAAACCGTATATAGAAGAAATAAATTTGTAATTCGAAATCAGAAAATAAAGTCTTAATCTAGTAGCAAATTTCAAAAAACGTGATTGGAAACTTACTTCTGGGGCAGGTCGTAAAAAATAGGTTTATCTCCTCAGGTTAGCAGATTCAGGTAAGCGAACAGACTATAAAAAACGAATTCTCCCTCTTATTGATTCTTGTGAAAAACTGGTTTAAAACATGACAAGCTAATACTTTTAATTGCTAGTCTTGTAATCAAATTTATTACACGACTCGGGCAGTCAGTATTGGACCGGGCACTTTCCCGAATGGTCCCGAATGATGCCGCACTTGTGTCCCTTTGAACTTCAGTCGTATAATAAATCTCTTATTAACCAAGCTTGCTCGGGACCGTACTGGAAGAATATCGGCCCTCGGTATTTTTTGTGCAATATTGGCCTTGAGACAGCAATGAGAGAGATTCTTTTTATCTCCCAGCAAATAAGTCAAGATTCAAAGGCATGTTGCTGTTGGAATTTTTCACATTTAAGATATTTGCTCTCTCTTTCTCCTATCAAAAATGTTCTTTAACCCATTTATATATATATATATATTCCCTTAGCTCCGGTTGGAGCATAGGCCATTAACCACTTCCGTCCTCCATCGGGTTCTGTCCTGGGCAAATCTTCCTAAAGTGGCCCAAGTGTGGCCCCAGTTTCTCATTTGGGACTCTACACCTCTTCTCCAGGAGTTCCTGGGACGACCCCTCTTTCTCTTGCCCTGAGGGTTCCAACGTAGTGCCTGCCGGGTGATGTTGTTAGCCGGTTTCCTTAGGATGTGACCTATCCATCTCCACTTTCTCTTTGAGATCTGAGTTATGATTGGTTCCTCGCCTGCTAATTCCCACAGCATCTCGTTCGTTACCCTGTCAGTCCAACTGATTTTTAAAATTCGCCTAAGGCACTTATTGACGAAGGTCTGCAATTTCTGGGACGTTTGGTTAGTTGTTCTCCACCGTTCACAAAAATAAATGTTCAAATAAAAGGTTCGGCTAAATTGAAGATGACCTTGAACGCGGTTTTGTTAAAAACGGCTAAACTTTATTTAAATAACAGGCCCATCATGTTTTATGTTAGAGACAATTATTTACCAAAACAAAGTCTAAAATGATGACCACTAGGCATTGAAAAAAAGGCGCTGTCGCCAAGTTAAAACGGAACTACATCTTCATTATGTTTAACGTGACACGGTCTGTTAAGGGGGATTTTTTTTTCGAACTGATGAGTTGCACAGATATTTTCGACCCGAAATGTAAAAAAAACAAATGAGAATTCATATGATCCAAAAGCATTTGATGTTTTCCTGCGCTATACTAACTGCCAACACAAGAGTTTCTCGACCCAATGCCATCAAACCTGGAGTACACTATATGATTCCTTACTCGGAACTGGTCAGCTCAGACGACTACCACAAATCGTACATAGAAGAAATAAATTTGTAATTCGAAATCAGAAAAACGCAAATAAAGCCTTAATCTCATAAGTAAAATTCAAAAAACGTGATTGGAAACTTACTTCTGGGGCGGGTCGTAAAAAACAGGTTTATCTCTTCAGGTTAGCAGATTCAGGTAAGCGAACATAGTATAAAAAACGAATTCTCCCTCTTATTGATTCTTGTGAAAAACTGGTTTAAAACATGATAAGCTGATACTTTTAAATCACTGTACGGAATAGCTGTTATTACGGTTGAGCCCACGTTACAGCGGTATTACTTACAGAGTGCGCGAAAGCGAGGCTTTCGGGTCAATCTTTCAGGAGAAAGCAAGCGCCTAATAAGGAAAATTCGAGAAAAATAATTATGAGTTCCCCTCCAGATTTTTCATTTTTCTCACAAGAAAAGAGGCTACAATTACTCAGTGGAAACTGTCCTCGTCATTTAACAAACCCTAGGCTGAGAACGTGGCTTTCATATCGTGTAG